TTCCAAAGAACCGTACGTCTGGTAAAGTTGAACTATCTAGTTTTATTATTGATTTTATTAAAGATTGTGTTCATGTTTTCGTCAAGCCGGCGCTGATAATTTACAATTCTATTCCGAAATCTGGAATTTTACAATTACACCATCACAGCATTGCTTCATGATAGGTAGAAAGGTATCGTAGGAAAATTAATCAATTGGATGTTTCGTGCAAGATTGTCTGCAATTGGTTGATTTTCATGCAAGATCCTGTAGTTGCAAGGAAATGACGGAAATAATCAGTTCATTTGTTAGTTCGCAAGCGACTGTTCAAGATTTCTCTTGCATTTTGCTGACTATAAAACGGGTATAACAGATCAGATAAATCATGTTGTTGAACATAAACACAATCGATTGCGTCAAGCTACCTAAGCCTTCTGCACAGGTCAAAACATATGATATTTCGATACGAGTGCCACCACTATAAGTTTGGGTTTAGATTATACTGCAGTTTTATAATGGATACCCAAAGAATGTTCCTTCCACGATTCAGGAATTTAGCGACGGAAGTGAAAATTTTGAAGACTGAGTACCGCCATGTATCCAGAAAACTGAGAAATGTAGTTTTCCTTGAAACTAACACTTCTGACATTTCCTACTTAACGCTCTGTTTACACTGTCATCTATGATGTCATTTTGTTCCAAAGCTGGGCATCTAGACGTGTTACGGCGTCGAGCAGCCAACACATTAGCTCGAAGGCTCGTGGGTTTGTATCCCTGCCTCGGAAGTTGTTGAGGGGTATTTAAACATGTACGCATAATACGGGTACACCAATTTTTGTGGGAAACTTTTATTCGACAACAAAGAATGAGAAAACGGGTTTGTGGGATTCAATCGAAAGTTTTGGCAGGAACGAAAAACTCGCCATATAAGATTTTCAGGTATTTATGAGACCTACAAATGAGACCATACGTAAAAAATCCGATTAATAACAAAAAAGTTATGACAGAAAACCGAGGCAAACTGCAGGTTTTGGCACTTGTTGGTAATGCGACGATGGTTTCTCGCAGATACTTCAAATTCTTCAATTCGTAGGATTCGTACTTCTAAATAACCACAACAAAACTGGAGTAGATTGGTCCATCAGTTTTTGAGAATTTCTAATTGTTTATCCCAAAACATTTGCTTCCGGCCATCACTACTAGTTTATTGAGGAAATTTACAGGGTTAGTTTAAAGGGCATTTATAGCAAAATAAACTAGTTTACCTTAGCGATATGAATCGCAAACCATTCCGGAAGATTAATGTTCTTTTATGCAAAAAAGTATGGGTTACGTTTTACTTCTAAACAAATTCAAACATCTCATATTGTGAGTAACTCACAACAAAAGATGATAGACATACGCTTTGTTTTAAAATGTGTATAGTAATGTATGTTTTTCGAATATCGTAGCGCATTTGTTCAATTACTCACAAATACGAAATGTTTGAATTTATTTAGAAGTAAAAACTTAACCTTTGTTTTTCGCATAAAAATAACATTTATCTTTCGGAACGGTTTGTGATTCATACCGGTAAGGTAAACACGTGTATTTTGCTATTAAATGCTTTTTGATCGATCCCTGTATATTGTTCAATAAACTAGTAGTGATGGCCGGAAAACAGGTGCTTTGGGGTAAACAATTAGAAATTCTCAAAACACTACTTGAGCAACATAGTCCCATTTTGTTGTTGTTATTTAGAAATATGAATCCTACGGATTTGAAGAATTTCAAGTAGTTGCGTGAAATTATCGTCGCATTACCAAGTGCCAAAACCTGCATTTTGCCTCGTTTTTCGAGGATAACATTTTTGCTATTAGTCGGATCTTTTTACGTGTTTTGTAGGTCTCATAAATGCTTAGAAATCTTGTATGAAAAGTTTTTTTCGTTCCTGTCAACATTTTCGATTGAATCCCAAAAAACACGTTTACTTCATTCTTTGTTGTCAAACAAAAAGTTTTCCCACAAAAATTTGTGTACCCATTTTATGCGTCCATGTTTTGAATACCCACTTGAACAACTGCACCAATAAAACCAGATTTTACAATTATTTCGGGGAAATTTGCTAATATGATTAGACTATACGCACCAGATCGGTGCAATATCAATGCGACACAGTGTTAGTACAATAAGGTCTACAAAAAGGGTCAATGTGGTTCAGTTACCAGGCTTTGCTTCCCAATCTCTACTACTAGCTCCAAAGAAAGTTGAGCTTCATAGCTTTACTACTTTAGACTACACAAAAACACAAAAAACCTTCCCTTATCTTTTATAAAGTAATTCTCGCCTTATGTCTCTACGCTATATAAAATTTTTACCATTTGCATAATCTATCCATTCAAACACGATGAGAGGATAGTCCGTGAAAAGATTTTATTATTATTTTCATCGTAAAATGAATTGTAAAGTGAGCTTTTAATATGCTGACGTACACCGCTTTTCAAGTTATTGAAGAGTTTAGGATGTTGTGTAGTCAAAATTTTTTTTGAAAGCCAGAAGTTTCGGAAAGTATAATTTTTCAAAACTAACAAATTTGAAAGTACGATAACTTCAATGCTTCCTCATACCACCAAAATCCGAACACTATAGTACTCTTTTGAGGTTTTGGGGTGTACTGGTATCAAAGCATAAAAAATATTGTTCGGCCAGGCAGTCAGGTCGATAAAAGCAGGTAACGTGACTTTTCAGGAATATATCGAATTTGAAAATTATTTCTTAGCCAAATGATATTAGTATAACCCAAATGATGAACTACAGAAGGGTTGTGAAAGATGGATACGAGGCGGTACTAAGTACTATAGTCTCGAGTATAGTTTTTGTCCGGTTAAACGTGAAGTTAGTATCTAGGATGACCATTAGCGAAATTTTTAATATAGTGTTATAATAAAAACGGGAATGGTATTGAGATCGGGAATTTTTTTTATTTATCAGCATTTAAATTCACCCCTTTCCTGATCTAACAACGTTTATCTGATTAATAAGACCCAACAAGGATGATGAATCTATGCATTTACTGACGTTTCGGTTGCCACGGCAGCCTTACTGAAAACAAAATATTTTAAAAAAATACAATATTGATATGTCAATGTTTAGATAAATTTCCATGAAATCGACAAATAAATCTAGGATTGAAAATCTAGTTTCAAATTTATTTTATATATTTTTATTTTGTGCTGAAGCAAGGCTGCTGTGGCAGGCAAAACATCAATAAAGCCATTAATTTAATAACTGTGGTTTTAATAATTGACCAGACTGAAGATTTATCAAAGAGGCAACTATAAGATGACCAGAAGTTGCTTTTCTTTCTCCTGTTAGTTAAAAATTCGTGCGTAGTTCTAAAATCAATGCAGCAACGCTTTGTTTTGCGTTAACATCAATCTACAAAGAACTCCTTAAATTTTGATTTGGTTCATGCAAGCTCATTCTCAATCATCAATTTTTGAATCATTTCAGCTAATTTTGGAGATTTCAATTATGTGAATAAAATGTGAGTTTCATTATCATTGGGAAAACTAGATGTTTTCTACATTCGGTCATTTCTAATACTAAAGATGGACTTGTTTATCCCAAAAACCGACATATAGGTACATAGCAACTAGAAATAAATTGCAAGCAAATATCACGTTGATAGTAAATAGACAATCAAGCCAGTTTGATTGAAAAAAAAAATGAAATAAAAAATAGAATCAAATGCTGAAAAATAAAAAATGGTATTTGATCGAAACTGCAGTATTAGTAAATAAGTATTGTTCCACAAAAACAAAAAATAAAACTGGCACAACACGCGGATTATTATAAAAAAAATGTAGATAAAAAATCAGATATGATAAATGCAGTGTTAAACTCCTTCTTGTCGAAAGCTCTGTGATAGACTTACCGGATGTTTTAACAACAATTTTAGCCTGTTTCTCTGTGATCGTTGCGAGATCCAAAGGAGTAGAATATAGACAAGTAGTGAAAAAAGGAAGTGTCAGAAAAAGAGAGTAAAAGTATAAAAGCAAATACGAGACAGAATGGTGCAATTTTTGAAAGAGAGAGAGAAACACTCTTGTGTGTAAAATAGAAAAAAATTTGGAAAATATTGTGCCGTGGTTCAATGCAGTGCAACTTAGTTGAAGTAATATTTATACAAAAAATGTGAACAAACCTTAAAAATAAAGATATGCTACTTGGGTATCATAAAACGAAACATAACCAATAACATAACATCAAAAATAGGGTTTAATCATAGTGTTAGGGGCTATTTGCAACATATTTGTTAAGAATTGTCCAAAAAATCGGTCAAACGTATCAAGGTTGGGTACTAGGGGATGGAGATCTTTTGTTAGGTAACTACTAAATACTCTATTGATCCATGCAAAATTTCATTAAATACAAACACTAGATTCAAATAATCTTTCAGTAACACAAAAATCGTGAAACTCCGATTAACTCCGTTTTTGGCTTACCACACACCGGAGAATGGCAGGCGATATCACTGTAAAAGATTTCCCTGCCGGCAGTTACACTGACAACAATAATCCTTGCGATACCGCAATCATCCGTCAGCATATTATTAACTTACGATAGTATATACAGCTTAGCAGCTGGGGAATTCCACGGCATGCAGAAGCTTGCCGACGCGAGATCCTACATAAAGCACTTTGACACCGAAGTGTCCATCGGAGAGCATGCTGAGGGACCACGCGGCTAGTGGCGTTGGCATACGAGGGCATTCCCCGACTGCCGACGGATGCATCGCTCAGCATGCGTGTCTATAAATTCTCCTCTCGGTATAAGATGGCATCCTGCTGTGAGATCTCGTGGACAGAGGTGTAGACATACCAATGCTTTCCGACCAAGGATCCCATATAAAGTATGCCGTTTGACAAAAAAAAAGAATTTTCGGTATCTGAGAGCAGGCTGAGAGAGTAAGCGGCGAGTGGCGTCGGCATGCGAGGGCATTCCTCGGCTGCCGATGGATGCACCGCACAGCATGCGTGTCTATAAATTCTAGTCTCAGTATAAGATGGCATCCTGCTGTGAGATCTCGTGGACAGAGGTGTTGACATGCCAATGCTTTCCGACCCAGGATCCCATATAAAGTATGCCGTTTGACAAAAAAAAAAGAATTTTCGGTATATGAGAGTAAGCGACGAGTGGCGTCGGCATGCGAGGGCATTCCCCGGCTGCCGATGGATGCACCGCACAGCATGCGTGTCTATAAATTCTCCTCTCGGTATAAGATGGCATCCTGCTGTGAGATCTCGTTTGACAAAGGTATCGGCATGCCGATGCTTTCCGACGCAGGATTCCACATAAAGTATGCCGTTGACTGGCGAGCCAACGGATGCATCGCACAACATGCGCGTCTATAAATTCTCCTCTCGGTATTAGAGGGCATGCTGTGAGATATCGTGGATAGAAGTGTCGACATGCCGGATCCAGGATAAAGTATGCCGTTTGACAAAAAGATGATTTTCCTTCGGTATCGGAGAGCAAGATGAGGGACCACGCGGCGAGTGGCGTCGGCATGTGAGGGCATTCCCCGATTGCCGACGGATGCATCACACAGCATGCGTGTCTATAAATTCTCTTCTCGGTATCAGAGGGCACGCTGTGAGATCTCGTGGATAGAGGTGTCGACATGCCGATGCTTTCCGACCCAGAATCCCATATAAAGTATGCCGTTTGACAAGAAAAAAAGAATTTTCGGTATCTGAGAGCAGGCTGAGAGAGTAAGCGGCGAGTGGCATAGGCATGCGAGGGCATTCCCCGGCTGCCGATGGATGCACCGCACAGCATGCGTGTCGATAAATTCTCCTCTCGGTATAAGATGGCATCCTGCTGTGAGCTCTCGTGGACAAAGGAGTCGGCATGCCGATTCTTTTCGACGCAGGATCCCACATAAATTATGCCGTTTGACAAAAGGAGAGAATTTTCCTTCGGTAGCTGAGCAGGCTGAGTGCGTCCCCGACTGGCGAGCCAATGGATGCATCGCACAACATGCGCGTCTATAAATTCTCCTCTCGGCATCAGAGGGCATGCTGTGAGATCTCGTGGATAGAGTTGTCGACATGCCGGATCCAGGATCCCACATAAAGTATGCCGTTTGACAAAAAGAAGATTTTCCTTCGGTATCGGAGAGCAAGATGAGGGACCACGCGGCGAGTGGCGTCGGCATGCGAGGGCATTCCCCGGCTGCCGATGGATGCACCGCACAGCATGCGTGTCGATAAATTCTCCTCTCGGTATAAGATGGCATCCTGCTGTGAGCTCTCGTGGACAAAGGTGTCGGCATGCCGATGCTTTTCGACGCAGGATCCCACATAAATTATGCCGTTTGACAAAAGGAGAGAATTTTCCTTCGGTAGCTGAGCAGGCTGAGTGCGTCCCCGACTGGCGAGCCAATGGATGCATCGCACAACATGCGCGTCTATAAATTCTCCTCTCGGTATCAGAGGGCATGCTGTGAGATCTCGTGGATAGAGTTGTCGACATGCCGGATCCAGGATCCCACATAAAGTATGCCGTTTGACAAAAAGAAGATTTTCCTTCGGTATCGGAGAGCAAGATGAGGGAGCACGCGGCGAGTGGAGTCGGCATGCGATGGGATCGGCCGATTACTGACGGATCCATCGCTCAGCATGCGTGTCTATAAATTCACTTCTCGGTTTCAAAGGGCACGCTGTGAGATGTCGTGGATAGAGGTATCGACATGCCGATGCTTTCCGACCCAGGATCCCATATAAAGTATGCCGTTTGACAAAAAGAGGATATTCCTTCGGTATCAGAGAGCACGATGAGGGACCACGCGGCGAGTGGCGTCGGCATGTGAGGGCATTCCCCGATTGCCGACGGATGCATCACACAGCATGCGTGTCTATAAATTCTCTTCTCTGTATCAGAGGGCACGCTGTGAGATCTCGTGGATAGAGGTGTCGACATGCCGATGCTTTCCGACCCAGGATCCTATATAAAGCATGCCATTTGACAACAAGATGATTTTCCTCCGGTATCGGAGAGCATGAAGAGGGACCACGCGGCGAGTGGCGTCGGCATGCGAGGGCATTTCCCGATCGCCGACAGATGCTAAATAAATTCTCTACTCGGTATCAGAGGGCATGCTGTGAGAACTCGTGCACAGAGGTGTTGACATGCCGATGCTTTCCGACCCAAGATCCTACATAAAGTATGCCGTTTGACGAAAAGAGAGTTATCCTTCGGTATCTGCGAGCAGGCTGAGGGACCATGCGGCGAGTGGCGTCGGCATGCGAGGGCATTCCCCGACTGTCGATTGATGCCTCGCACAGCATGCGCGTCTATAAATTCTATCGGCATCGGCGGGAGTGCTGTGAGATCTCGTGGCAAGAGGCGTCGGCATGCTGCGATATTCCCGGCTTCCAGATGACAGTGTCGTAAGCAACCGGAAGATATTTCACATCAGTGCACGAAGCCGGGAGAGAAATGATTTTCGATGCTTTTTCCTGCTGTGCCTCGGTGTGCGCAAGCATCTTTGAACTAATCTTATATTATCCAACGTAAACGTAGTATAAAAGATGAAAAAATTGCTGTCATAACAAAATCTAGCCACTTACGAAAGGGGAGTGAAATATAATTATAGATATACCGCTACGTGGCAGATATGGCTATTTCGCATAATTCCGTATTTGTGCGATGAAAATGTCCATGTGCCATTAGCGTCGATAATTTGATAATAAAGCTGTTAAAATATGCGTGCTGAAATCCATAACCGGACGTTAATGAACATCATCTGACAATATACGGCTTTATTGCGGTTTAGTCCGCATGCATATTGTCGATATTGGAAATGCTAATTTTCGCGTAACATTTCTCCATTAAGCATGTTATACTTTCAGATTATATCAATTCTAAATCTTGTAGCAACCCAGAGCTTGTAATTGCAGATGAAATACTCTAAGTGTCAAGTCCATAAATACTGCTTTCATAGACCAATCTTATCACTAGGCTTATTTTGAACTACTATTAAATGTTGCGCTGCCAAAAGTTGCTGAAAATCATCGACTCCAAGTATATTTTCATAGAAAAACCTCAGTAAAAGTGAACCTGAGATCAATATAAGTTATAGGGCTACCCTGTATCCTACTAGAAAATAGAACTTGCCACTCAGCACCTTTTCACAGCACCTGGCAACTGCCAGAATGCAATATGATATTTTTCCTTTGTTTTAAAACGAACATTGTACTTTACATCCTGTAATTCAGTTAGAATCTAGCCTCCACGCCAATCATTGCTCGTAATTTCGGAAACTCGAAATACCATATTAGTTATATATAATTTGAAGCTTATACTGTGGTTGCCCCTCTGATGTATCTTCTTTAATTTAGTCAATGAAAGCTAATGCATGCCGAGGTAGTTCGGGGGGAGTAACCAGACGGATTTTCTTCCCCGGAGCATACGCTGATGATAAAAATCCTCCGCCATATTGCGAGCATCCGTCGGCATCTCTAAATAGTACCTCGGCAGATTCCAGTACACACCGCTTTGCCCAAATATACCGCGGTATGTATGCCGATGTCGCACAACATGCTCTTCGACGTCGAGATAAGAAAAACCTAGGTGGTATCAAAGGGCAAGTAGCATGCTATGAGATACCGCAACCGAAGGCATGTCTCGACATCCCTCAGGCTATAGAATATGCCGTAATATTACATCATGCCGACGGATTTCGTCAGGTAGGAGAAGTCGCCTACCGTATCGCACGGTATACTATTTGATACCGCCGCAGGAGGCGCCAGCATGCCATGGCATTCCCCTGTTGCCAGAATATAGACGCTAAGGCAAGTAGCTGGGATAATCCTAGTGTCGCGGGATTTGTTTTGCTGCTCTGCTGGAAAGAAAATCCTGCTTGATGTACTCCTCTGCCGTCTTCGGTATGCGATAGCCATTAAACCAAACCACATATTGTGAATTAATGACTTTATTGATAATTCGGTTGCTACCATAGCCTTTTTTTATTTTGTCTGCTCTGATTTGGAAGATACTTTAGTACAAATATTATCGCGAATTTGAGCACGGAACTGCGTATACCGACTCTATGCGTCCGTTTGGTAGATTACCCAACAAAAGATCACACTGAACACATAAGGACAAAAATCAGGCAGTCTATGTTTTTGTCACTAAAAATTTCATAAGCAGTTTCATGTGTAATCAAAAAGTAAAACTGAACCTTACCATCTTTACAATCCAAGTAGCATTGAAAAAAAGTGAAGAAAGAAAACACAATTTTTGAATTTTTTTTGTTCGAAAAACAAGCATGTTGAGACATTTTTTGTTCATCTTAATTTGAAAATAAATTATTGTTCAAGGACGAGTGTTTGTCAGACAATCCAGTCGAATATATGATCTACATGTTTTAAATACAGAAGACAGAACATATCTTTGATGTTAATAATAATTCAATATTGAAGACAATTACAGAGAACACCAATCATATTTCGACTGATTGATCCGCATCTATCGATAGTGCATATTGCTGAATATGAATGTTTGCAGATGGTATAGTTTTTTGCAGGAACTAATTTCAAATAGATTGGCTTTAAGCATGGTTTACATAATACTGATAATGGACATGTGGGCGATTAGACTATTATCATAGAACAAACAGACATGTCCTCCAAAGAAGAGGTGGTCATTCTGGATTAAGCGATAATCCACTTTTTCATATTGAAATGAAATACAAGTAACTGTCTGTAGTCTTTTCTAGATCGAGGTATTTCTTTTAAATTTTAAATTGTTGAAATTTTACTTTTCTTTTTGTTAAGTCTCATAAATTGAACTAGTTTAAAAACATTAACTTATTGTAATCCGGAAATTAAATATCTCCTTTTTTTCCTGCAAAAACTCTACCACTGTTTGCTTGGGTTATTTTGAAAATTTGATGGAAAATTCTGTATGATCAATATTTGAGATATAATATAGTAATCGCATATGACTGAAAAGCGATAAATGAAACAGATTGCCAAATGTTACTACTCAACAATTGAATTAGATAATGCAAAGGTTCATCAGGCAAACAATTTCAATGTTGCATTGTCTCTATGATGATTACATTCAGATAGCGAAAGTTGTATTTCAAAGTGGTGATAGTAGAATACTTTCTTTCTCTAAATACTTAAAAGTTCATTGATAAAAACCTCGAAACTCTTACTGATCAGCTACTGTTTATTAAATTTTTTATAGACACGTTATTATAAAAATTTTGATTATTTATCAACATATTTATCTTATTGCATCAAAGCTTAATTTGCACCACCTTTGATTGTTGAGCAGTATTTTTCGAACAACTGGACAGAGCTCATCCTTATACTAACACCCATATTCTTGCATTCTTTTTCAGGATAGAAATACTTACTTTGATATTGAATAAATTTAAACAACAGGTGGATCTTTAAGCCCATATATAGTACGTCGAGATTATCAATAAGTATTCTTTACGCCTTACATCTAAGATTTGGATTTCATGATCATCGAAGGTACGTTTTCATGTTTCCATGTAATATGGGTAGACTTCGTTATTGTGATTACCCATTTATATTTTCTTAATGCCCATGCTTTGTTTTAATAACTTGATCATTACCTTATTCGAATCGAAATTTCTCGTTTTCAGATTTGATGAGATCTGTCCATTTGAGCTGAAGTACGAATAAATAATTGTATCAGTACTTGTAGGAAGTCACCACAAGGAATTTAGACAGTATCGACCAGCAAATATAGATTTTTCTACTTTGAATATTAACGAAATTATTGTGAGAAAATAACTTGCATAAAAATGAATAGGACAATGATCATCAGGCCAGGTGTTACGTAAAAATACGTAGAAAATGGTCAAGACCATTTTTACCATAGACTGATATTGAAAAAAATGTACATTTTACTTGCAAATACAGAGATGGAAAGATATATTCATAATGGAATTATCAAGCTGTTTTGACATAAATACTGAATAACTTCCTACAAAATGATGCATCCTGATATGAAAAACGGATGGATGTTTCAACATAGTATGGATAAGCTATAAACCTTTCTCACAGAAATGTGCTTTTTCGAAATACGTCAACATACGTAAAAATATTTCCCCAAAACCTCTTCAGAGTTGGATCATCATTCACCCCAAAATACTGGAGAAGATGATGATACACCCAGCGACACCGAAGTTTCATTTACTAATAATCTAACCTTCGCAAAGAATGAATTCTCGTATACAGGGTGTTCCTTTGAAAACTTTCCACCACGGATTTATTTTAACTTTTTAGCTAAAAACTACTTCGTCCCCTTTCACCCTCTGCCCCTCAGGGTCATCCCCTTAGAAATTTTAAATGACAAGGAGTATCGAGTAATAGCTTATTTGAAAGGCCTTTCAAAGTAATTTATTTTGACGTTTGATTCCTTAAAATCGGTCGATTCGTTTTCAAGAAAATTAGAAAAATCTTTAGTTTAATTGCTGCCCGTTATAGGTCAAACAATGATATAGGCCATGTTCAAATTCCTGACGGAAATTTTCAAAAACATGTTGTGGGATATCCTGGCAGCTTTGGGTGATGCCTTGACGAAGTTCATCCAAACTTTCAGGTTGGGGAGTAAACATAATATATTTCAAATGACCCCATAGAAAAAAGGCTAATGTCGTCAAATCAGGAGATCCAGCAGGCCATTCTATAGGCCTTCGTCGCCCTATCCATTTATCTGGAAACTCGTCGTCTAGCCATTGCCGAACCGAAAGAACATAGTGAGGAGGAGCGCCGTCTTGCTGGAAATTTATTTCAGCCTCATCAAGTATAGGGTTTCCATCCTCTCCGATTTGGTTTTCAATGGTTTCAGTGATAAGCGGATCCATGGTATTTCCCAACATATCCACATAAATGCCTCCATTCAAATTTCCATTACTAAACAATGGCCCAATCACCTTGTTTCCTAAAATGCCTGCCCATACATTAATTTTTTGGGGTACTGGGTATGCCCGTTTAGAAAAGCATGATGATTTGCATTCATCACTGAAGCAGGTATTCTCAACATGAATGGTATTGTCATTAATCGCTGCAGTGTTTTGTGTGGGAATGACGCCTGCCAGTGGTGTAATATTTCGCTGTCAGATCAAAAGAGAATTGTTCGAAATTCAAATTGTTCCTACCCTCAAATCGACTCGGCTGTTATTTTTTTTTATTGCACGTGTCAAGCAAAAAGATTCCGCTAGGCGGCGCTGTCATCGCTTACACAGCGAATACATACCTGTAGCGAATTGATTAGCCAAAAATACTTTTAAAATTTTTTTTGATGTACTATTTTAGTGTGAGGCTCGGATTATAGGCAGAGTCTTCTCTATACAGGGTGTTCCAAAAGTCAATCAAATGATAGGGGGGGGGGGGGGGGCGGTAAAGGTAAAGGGTGCATTTGCAAACAGAAATACCATATAATGCCATCCGATTGTGCACGGTTTTTGACTTATAGCCATTTTTAAGAAATCTCAATCAGATTAACAGAATATGTTCTCAAATGATGCAAAAAGCTATGAGTGAAAATTTAGTCCAGTTAATGTAGGTACAGCAATCGCCTAAACTGCAACGAGGCTTGTACAAAAATTAGTGGGCGGATAAGGTGTTCATAATAATGAAAAACTTCTCAATACTAAGGCGTTCCAAAATATCAATCAGATAAGTCAAATATCATATATTCGGCTCAAAGTAAACAATATGCTGCAGGTACCCTAAATCCGGAAATTCCCATTTTTAACCTTGACCCTTCAACTGCCATTGTTGATCTTCCTTCCAAATAGGATGAGCAAACATTTATGTGACACCTGACACAACCTGAATTAATTCTAGGTCTAATCATTCCAAGGATTGGCGGCCTTGACTTTATTTTGGGTGTTATAAGCGTAACTGAAGCAGTGCAGCATTATCTAATCTTGTCAGCCCAATTACCACCCTTATGTGATTCAAATAGGAGACAGTAAATCTGATTGAAAAATAACAAAGGACAACTTCAGAAAACAACAGTATAGTCTCAAAGGCACTGATTTTCAACAAATTCTTAAAAATGGCGATAACTCAAACACACCGCGCACAATCAGATAAGGACATAGATGGTTTTTCTGATCGCAACCTATCCCTAGTCGTTTGCTCCATGACTTTTGGGATACCCTGTATGCTGATAAACTGCTCGTTTGGAAAAATAGAAGCATATTTCGCTGTTGTTGATCAAAATAACACATTCGTACGTGAAACCCTGAAATTGAACCATCTACCGCTAGAAAACTGTGAGAAAAGTCCATAAGCTCGACTGACGACCACAGACGTGATAGTCACCAGCCTAGAATGAGACACGTACCTTCCTCCAACGCATCGTCCCCATCTGACACCAGCTCGTCATCTGAGCAGATGTTGAGCACATTCACCAACATTTCGGTCACCTTTTCGCCCACGAAAGGCAACGACCACGTGAATACGTCCATGAAGTTCGGTAGCCAGTACGGGTGCGGCGAAAAATTGAATTGCCTGATGTTCATGACGTTGTTCTCGTATTTAAGTACCGCTGCCTGCAATCAAATATTCCAGGATCACGATACGAAAATATGAATAACTATCTAAAAATCATTGTTTCGCCATTAGTATACAGGGTGTGAATAGGTTCAGAACGACAAATTCGATTCGATTAGAAAAAATCAAGCCTATATGGTTATAATGAATTATAGTAATAATTGTAAACATATAATTTAATTTGCTTACCACTGCCTACTGAAGTGACGAATCGGATACATTAGCGTATATTTTTTCTCTGGAGCGGATATTAAAATATCCAATCGTACTGGGTGTACTCACGTTCACAGGGCAGAAATATGAACTGTGTTGCGATGTGAATCGCTTAGTTATTGTTAATAACAGGAATAGATTTAATAAGGCAAATAAACAAAAGTAAATATTTATTAACTGTAAAGAGTATGAACAATTCTGTTTAATTCGTGATTTTGGAAGATACAAGTTCTACCCCGGTTTTTTTCAATAGTTTTGTTGATTCGCCGCAGGGTTATTTCGTAAAATACCTATATAATGACAAAAAAAAATGGTGTCAGCTTGCTGACTAAGAAGGCTAGTGTGAAAATAATTCATTCCGCGCTTGCTACAAGTGAGCATGAAGTGAACGACAGCTAGTTCTAAGTCAACGTCTTGTTGGAAAACCTACAGGTCAAACAAACCGACATAATGTAAAAAAAACGACATAAAGTCGCTTTTCAAGTCACGTTATACCCCTACCGAGCAACTCTTGGCTAAAACCAATTATCTAATTGAGAAGAATGTGGAAATTACTGTTATTTTAAGATTGTCATAGTTATCCAATAAAAAGTAGATCAGATTCAAAGTTAAAGATTCGGTTGGCACTTTTCATTATCCACCAAAAATTTGGTTTGTCTCCCAATATTTTGCATTTTGTAATGTTGTTAGGTATACAATTCGGTGCGACAAAGTAGGTGCCTTCACCGAATATGGTGTTATCTTCATTTTCTACGTATGTAGAAGTGTCTATTATGTAATTTAACACAAACATGTAAAAATAAAGTAAAATTAGTATATTTTCGATCTGGGGAAGCGCGGCGTTGCCAAGATTAGATTGTTCCACGATTGAGCACTGATGTGCTGTAAGCAATGATTGTTGTATCTGTGAATATTCTTTCTAGTAAGCTTGGCACATAATCTCAAAAAATCTAAAATTGTCTATGTATGCAATACGAGGGATGTCTTTTAAGCTTTGCATATAGAAACATAGGCCGCGCGGATCGAACGTCATTGCTGAATCTTAACCTCACTCTTTAGTAAACTTAAATTCAAAGTTTCACAACAATACGTGCAGTGTTCTCACTACAGTGGATTTTTAAATTTCACCAAGTCATTAGAAAAATGGAACTCAACCGAGAATTTTCGCGCTATAATTTATTACAACTTTCAGAGACAATTATCGCAACAAGAATGTCTTGCTGAGTTACTGTCTGTTTTCGGCAACGAAGCGCCACATTAGTCGACAATTTCCCGTTGGTATGGAGAATTCAAACGTGGACGGGTGAGTCTTAGCGACGATCCCAGGGTGGGTGCACCAAAAACAGCAGTCACCCAGGAAGACGTCGATGCTGTGCGCAAACTCATCACTGAAGATAGACATGCGATATATCCCGAAATTTAGGCGTCCTTGAAGATCTCAAAGACCTCAATTCAAAAAATTTTACATGAAGAATTAGGAGTAAGAAAATTAGTTTCTCGTTGGATACCCCACCTGTTGACTGAAGAGCAGAAAGCCAGGGTTAATTGGTGTCAAAAACCTTCCATATAGTCCTGATCTAAGTCCTAACGATTTCTTTACTTTCCCGAAAATTAAAAACAGACTGTGTGCTCAAAGGTTCCAGTCCCAGAAGAAGCAGTTGACGCATTCAAAAATACCGTTTTGGATCTGCCAGCAAACGAGTGGAATAAGTGCTTCGAAAATTGGTTCAAGCGCATGCAGATGTGTATTAATCTTCGTGGAGAATACTTCGAAAAACAATAAAGTCATTTAAAACCTCCTATCGTGGTGTTTTATTTCCATATGCAAAACTTAAAAGACATCCCTCGTATACCGATATATGGTAGTATGGAGTAATATGGGTGTATGGTCCCATGGTGGGGGATGGTTTTGAGAACCTTATAGACCCAATCGTTCACAAATACCTATACATTTTAAAAGCAATTTAATAGTGCGTAAGTGTTTAATTTTTGTGTGTAAAAAATGGTGATTCAACCACAAACAAATTTGTATCAAATTACATAATAGACACTTCTACATATGTACGTAAAAAATGCAAATATTAGCATAGCACTACCCAGGTAAAAGCCCAACGTTGAGGTATCTGCCCTTTCACAACGCCGATGACTAGAATATATTAATACTTATCGACAAAAAGATATACTCTTACTCAGTTTTGCATTCTACAGAAACCTTCACCATTTTCGGCAATTATTTGGAACACTAGGATTGTTTGGATCCACGCACTCTTATAGGTTTGTGCAGAAAAATATTAATTTAATGTGAAATATCAACAACACTCAAGCTGGTGGTTTAAACTCGCTCGACTTGTAGTATGAACTAGTAACCTGATTACTGACTTTTTGGGTACAAACAAATTGTATACTTGTTCCTTCTATCTAGTCCGGATTCGTTGGTTCATAAAAACTCAATTCCAACGTATCCGGGAGAGTGGCAGGAGAGAGTATTGAAAAAGATTTTCCTAAAGGCAGCGTGCACTGGTCAGGAAAATTCCCGGGACATTGTGAGGTATTCTTTGGTTTAAACTTTTACTTATTCCTTTCACCATCTTTTGATTCTGATTTGTTTTTGATGTTGTTGTTAATTCTGTCTTCCATGTTTGTTTGGCCGCTAAATGAAACCATATATGCTGTTTACTGATACGTATGTTTTAGAGACTGCTGCTTTAACTAAATTGCTTAAGCAAATTTCGTCAAGTAGGTTGACTCTTCACTTCCTACGCAACGTTCTTAAAGGATTAAGTTCAGCGCAATTTAAATCCTTTGAGAAAAAAGACAGTTACGGACATGTGCAACAGATCAAAGTCAGTCAAACAGGCTCAACGTTGTCCCTTCCTACATCTGCGCGGCAACACCCACCGCGGCACCGCTGCAGCGAATTATAGTTCCTTCCGTGTATATATTTTGTGCACAGCCGGACCGGGACGCCGGGCGGTATGCTTAGATAGCAGGAGTACGCGGATCGGAAGCATTTCTCTATCATTCTTGTTTTAAAGGTAAGTGTACGGGGAAATAAATGATGTATGAAATATAGCTTATAGGGGTTGGAAGCGTATAAATATTCAAACAGACAGACATAAATGAGTGATATGGTTTTTCGAGATGTACATATAATTTCCAAATACCATAGTATCTTATTTTTGAAATTCTTCGCATCACATCACTTCCTCGCATCCAATGGGGTAGGAAGTAAGATACAAAAACGGGCTCGTTCCGTGTTCTATCGAGTCACTATTAAAACGAGAAGCATTTCAAAAAGTGTTGGAACATACTTAGTGGAATCCAGAAAAACGAATGAGCTACGGATGACATCAAAAATTCCCAGTTATTCTAATATCTTTTACCTGATAAATGACATTAGGAACTATTTTGAGGCCAACATTTTTAGTTCTGCGACTGATATGAGGAAGTGTACAGAGGTCCGATAAAATTTGTAGAGGGCTTGCAGCAGAGTTATTACGTAAAAAATCTATATAACGTCAGAAAAATCGGGAAAATGTAAACTTGTGCATTACGTAGCCGCTAGTGTGCCGCGCCTACTACAAGTGAGCCTGAAGTGAATGGTAGCTAGTTCAGAGGTGACATTTTATAGGAAAACTTACATAATGTCAAAAAAATGTATATACTCGTAAGTCATACAAAAAGTAGGGAGGATGTCTATGGGCTAATTTTGTGGGCCTATTTGACTGATAAATTTTTCTGTTACACATGGTCGTAACTAACTTTTTTCTCACCGAGTCTAAATTGTGCTAAACACAATCCTTCATTAACTGATGACGACGTAGCGTTGGAAGTGCAGAGTCAACCTACATGACGTCATTTTTAGTGAGTTAATTCTATCATCTGATGTACAAGTTCTACTTTAAATGGAAACGGCATTTAGTATACAAATGAACTGAATTTGACTCCAGACCAACTCAAAACAATGAGGAAAATGTAAAAACCTTATTCTACGGGTCCGGAATATTCATCATACTAATACATATTAAATTATTAAAAAATGACCTGTGCTGGAATCTGAAATAGCTTTAGTTCAATTCTGTATGCTTTAAATTTTATGTCACAAACTAATAGAAATAAGATTGTCGTAGACATCACACTGTATAGGCTGACGATTGAAATATAACGTCAAGTTTGAAGTTTTAAGAAAACGACTGTATTCATTATTTCCGGTAATAAATCGGTAAAAAACAGTGTTTCTCAATTTTGAACCTGCGTGCCGGTGATTACAAGATTTTCCCGGTTCGCGAATAAGATATTTCAACAAAATTGTTTACTAAAAAAAACAACAGAGGCGCAACCAATCTATTTTACTTATTTATAATCGCACAGCAGCCATCTGTTGCGCGATTCGGTAGACTATACAGTCGAGTAAGTGTAAAAATGACATCCACAGATTACAAATTTGATGGGCAACTGCCGACTGCTGATGGCAGTGCCACAAACTGCTGAGCAGTTTATTTAGATGCGAAATTACTTGCAGTAAAAAAATGTACATCAAGTGTGGTGTGCCTCAAGGAACAGTACTAGGCCTACTACTATTTGATCTCTACTCAAATGACTTATTCAAAATTAACAGTACTGGAAAGATTATATGTTTTGCAGACACACCCTCATATTATATAAAGCTGATGACAAAATTTATTGCATTTACCTATTCAAAATTTTTACCTAGCTTCCAGCAAATTCCCGTTAATTATCATAGCCAAAAAACAAAAATTGATAGAGTTAACACGTTAAAATATCTTGGAATATTTATGGATATATAGGTATAACAATTAAGCTGAGATAACCATATTAAATATGTTATAAAAAAAATAAATGTTGCCCATGAACTCAAAATACTTGCTAACAGTCTTACAGAAAATTATCTGTGAATCCTCTACCATGCCTTAGTTGAAACTCATATAATATACGGCATCACAGCCTTGGGTGCCGCCTGCAAGTCATATATTTCTGACCTAGATATAGCACAAAAAACATTTTCCATAAGAAACGATTATATCCGTCGAACAACTTATATCAGGAAACAGGGATACTTGATACTAGATAACTTTATTTCTTACATGCCACCACCTTATACCATAAGCATTGTAATGGAAAAAATTCCCATAAATACGAGCATAACACACGATTTCGAATAATCTCATCTAATATCCAAAGACCATAAAAAACATTATTCAAACAATCATTCAAATTCTTAGCATCTAAATTATCTCTATAATGTAGTACCAAACGAAACAAAAACACTTAATTGTGGAAAAAAATTGAGTCGAAAATTAAAAGACTGTACTGTGCAGCGAATGACTATACATAATTATATAGAAAACTAAAACTACAATATTCCAATTATATTAATACCTTTTAGAATTAACAATAATTGTTATAAACATATGTTATTTATTAGGATATAATCCACACACAGGCGATGCCTTCTCTGGTTTTTTTCATATTTATTTGCCCATTTTTTGTATTTTTGCGAATAAATATTAATATTTACGACTTTTTCAAATTCTGTTTATATTCATCAACATAAACTGGGAATTGCGAATTAATAAATGCTATTGTATTTAGTATTGAATGACAGAAGTACAAAGATAATCAATTTAGTTTCAACGGAATACGAAGTCAAAGTCTAATTACTGTCGACAACTGATATTTTCTAGCATCTCGAAAAGTTTGTTTAAAATTCAATGGATTCGCTTCAGTCCAGTATTGCTTTAACATCGTTAATGACGCAAAGTTTGGAATGGCAGACAAAATGCAGCAACTGTATGTAGGTGAAAGTAGCCATCCAACCGCACAGCGATTGTTGTATTACAGAACAGAGTTAAATTGGTGAATTGAAAATCCTCGTCTGCAGATTGCTCGATCTCGATGTCCTAGAAACAAATGACAAAACATACCAGCCAGTTCTCGATATACGGAACTAATTTAGAACGAGAAGCAGATCGACGAGTGATGAACGAAAATGAAGATTTTGCGTGTTGAATTTTTAAAGTTTTTTGATCAAATGCCAAAAGGTTTTGTGTAACCATAATCTAAACTTCCCAAATTATCACACCGGAGCGAGGTTTGAGTGGTAGGTATGTGTGGTGAATTTTTAAAGTTTTAAAAGAACGCGATGAAAATATCTCTTGTTTTTCTAATCTAGACGAAACCTCGTTTCCAGGGTAAATTAGATGCGTACATCAGAAATCTGATGTCAAATTTTGATAGTATCGAAGCTATTGATATAACTGGAGTAGATGATAATGCCTTGAACATTTCGTGATCACATGATTTGGAAATTCTAGAAAAGTCATTTAAATGGTCATTGAAACCTCAGGCCTATCAGAAGAAACTTCCTCTACATTTTCTGCTACTGTTTTTATGCTACAAATTCTTACTCCACAGCAGGTGTCATTAATTTTTGTTTGGTTTCCTTTTTGCCTGTTTTTTTCGGGCTGGTAATAATAGTTCCAAGTTTGTTTTACCTCTGCTGCTCACTGTTGTACTTTAGATAGTCCTGTTATTATTCGCTTTTTTATGTTATCGATTCGGAGTTTTATGGGTAAATCATGTCGTTATGTCACAAGTTTTTTCTGTGCCTAAATGTAGTAATAGATTTTTTTACGTGATCATGCTACTTACCTTATTGTTATAAACATCCAGATAATTTGGTGCCGAAAATATTGTGATTAATGATGGGAAGCCTGTTGTTTGACTTTTTCTATACATCCTATACCTGTAAATAATGAAATAAATATAAATAATGAATGTGTCATACATTGTCGACATCAAAAATAGTCAAAAAAAGTATTATTCAAAATAAATGCATTTGTAACGCATACTCATGAGAAAAGTGTCCAATGATACCTGGCGCGTTCATCAGCATCTCGTCTCACTTGCAAAAGTATCTACGAGTATACCGAATGCCAAAATGCGGGTCCGCGTAGATTTCGATGTATTCAAAGACACGGTCGTGGTTACAGTGGCGTACGATGTGTTTTGCTATTCCGTTTTGGTGACAGATTATAAAAGAACCGAAGCAAGAGGATGCCATGGTACACATACGAGGTGTGTAAATTACGTGATGAGACTGGCAACGTAGCGTTCGATCTGGCAACGGGAGGTGCTGGACTTCGAGGGAGACAGATGAACATGTTATCCGCCTTCAGTACAAGTTTGAACTGGCTCGAGTCATTTGGTTGTCCGTAGCGATTTTTTTTGTGAAACAGTTTTTTCTATTGTGTTCTAAAAATGAATAAGCGGTGTGCTATCAAGTTTTGCTTCAAACTTGGGCCCAGTGTTTTGTCAAGAGCCTAGGTTTTTCGATGGTTTAAGGCATTTTCCGAAAGGAGAGAGTCGATTGAAGATGGACCAAGAATCGATGAAAATATCGACAGAATTCGTGCGGTCAGATCGCCGGATGGCAGTCAGAATGATCGGGGAAGAGTTAAATTTGACTCACACCACCGTTCATCATATAACAACTGGGTGTTGCATCACGAAAATAATGCTCCTTGTCACACAGCATACTCAATAAACGAGTTTTTGGCCAGCAAAACGTTTCTGTAGCGCTCCAGCCTCTTTATTCGCCTGAATTGAACCCTTGTGACTTTTTTCTCTTTCCGTAGTTGACAATCATTTTGGGACACTCGGAAACATTCAAATGGCTACAACCGACCAGCTGAAGGCTATTCCTGTATCGGAGTTTCAGCACTGCTATGAGGTGCTGCGTGGGTTCAGAAGAAGTTATTTTGAATGTGGCAATATAAAATTGTAATTATATTTGAATAAAATTTAAATCAGTCTCATTACTTAATTTACAGGTCTCGTATGCTTAGTGCCCGGGGATCTCACTGCATGTGTGTGTGTTATCCCAGGAAGAATTTTATCTATTAGATACTGGTCAGCATTTCACTTTTTGTGTATGACTTGTTTTTAATTTGATGCTAACAATATAAGTGTTTCTAGTTATTTTTGTTACTAGATTGCATCAGAAAATTTTATTAGTGATTACTTTAGTATCCAACTTGTTATACTGTCGATTTTATCAATGTTTGTCAAACATTGTTCAATAAATCGCTAACAAGCTGTTTAAATAATTTTCATTTTTATTAAAAAATCTACGGTGTTCGGGGAGAAATCTGAATTTCACCCAAATGTCCGGGGTTTCTGCATCTTGTTCGGCGTCGGTTATTTAGGTAACGGCAACATTAACCAAACTTATCCATTTTATCTGCCTAGCGAGAGCATCCAAAGCAAAGGAACGACGGCTGTCGAACATTGTGCATGTAGTTCTTGGGTTGTAATTTTAGTATATTCATTGAAAATATTACTTAGAAATACATTATCTGTGTCATGTGACAATAAAATAAACGGTACCTGAATGGTTAACGTCAATCAAGGCTGACAGCGGTTGATCATAAATATTTCGCAGGAGCAAATAATCATTTGTCAGGTGCCAAAATCACGTAACCTTTGTTTACTATTTTGATCACTTACTAGTAATTTGAATTCCTCTTTATTAATGGTAGAGTGCCCGTTCCTAGGCCAAACCCTTTCAATGATTCTTTTTGGTAAATTCCATAGTTTATTGATTGTATAATTTCACTCGTATTACACCTTTCTTTCTAAGTGTGACCAGTTTTTGGAGTGGTCCCGCTTCCTATTGTACCTTACGTTTAGTTGTTTTAGTTTGGGTGCTACCCCGTCCATTTTCTTATGGGATCTTAATCTTCAGCGTGGGAAGGCAATGCGGAGAACCAGCACACACTCCTCCAGCTTTGCTTGTAGCTGTTTTGCAGCTGATATTGCCGGAAGGCACCCTTTCCTCTTAGTACAATAACTTGACTAACAGTTTCGCAGGCGATATCGACCGGTTTCTGCGGCACCCTCACCGTTTTTTCTCTTGCATTCTTTTGCTGGCTAGGCAATAGTATCGCAAATTGTCGGAATGCCTACGGATGCTCACGGTAGCGCGGAGAACTGTCGACCTTTTTCTCTCTCAACATTTTCTGACGCTACATCCCTATACTCTCTCCGAATACCTGGGAATGTATGAAAGCGCACAAAAGGCTGCTCCACGGTTTATATCTAATAAAAGCTCTCGCTCGAATTTCATGAAATTTACACGGTGCAAAAGACAATGTTAAATATTGAACGTTGACGTGAGCGGCCGTTGTACGCATTGATGTACATACGTGTAGGTTTTAACGGACGACAGGAACGGACTTGGATAAAAGAGGAAGCTTTACGACATGAATAACGGGGCTTAAATATCATGCTGTCGAATAGTGATGTTCTGTTATGTTTCTGTAAAGTGCATCTAAATTGATAAAATACTAAAGATATACATTTTAATGAATGTTATATTCTTTACTGAAGGATGAGCTGCCTACTAGTTTCTGTATAAAATACCTTGTGCGGATTTGTCAAATGGTGTATTTAGATCAAACTAAACGAAATCTAAAATATAGAAATTCGTCTAATAAATGTGCTTGCAGAGAAGTTCACAGAATTGACAGGGAGCACGCAGCATTGGCATCTCATCATTTTCAGAATGATCATAGTTTTAATTTTGACTCTATCAGTGTATTATTCACGCTGCTTTGATGTTCATTGCTGCTTCTCGTATACATAGGTCTTCCGACGATTGTAGTTCCTGTTTGGGTTCAATTATATTAATGCAGCAGACGCTGGGATCTCATATTTTATTCATTTTGTTCTATTTTATTTATGTTTGTCGTGGGTGAATGTACTATATCCCGTGTGACATATTTGTTGCAACGCTCACTTGCCTTTCTCCATTTTTTATACATATTCAATATTTTCCGAACTAGTTTGTACCTTGACAATTTTGATTACTAACTTCGTTAGATTGATATTTCATTTGTTAGTTTTTCTTCTTTTTTCTCATGCTACCGTCGTCAAACGTTTTTTATTCGTGTATGCTAATATTTTTAATATCTTTGCCTATTTTGATCTTTTTTTTAAATAAAACTTTATTTTTGTATTTTGTCGAAATTTATTTTCCGCATCTTGTAGCCCTGAAGAAGACAAATAAATGTCGAAACGTCGTTATGAGTAAAGTGCATCATTGATACATCGAGCGTTATATCCCAACATCCGAAGATTAATACAGGTAACGTTTCATATTGTTCGAGTCGAGTCGCAGTTATAGCAATCGATTGCACAACTGTCTTGTCACACCTAAACGGGAAAACCGCGTGTGATTGGTGACATTCATGCAATGACTGCTAAGTCCCCAATCCCTTCGATATCTCTATGTGAGTGGGCAGAATCAGCTATGAATCCTAAACTTTCTCTCTTCCAGTTTCTTATGATAATTCTGCTACCACTGCACCATTTGCTGGGAGAATTTTCGCCATTACTTGCGGTGTGCACCCTGTCATGAAACTGAAATAGCAAGGCTCTTCGATACCATAGAGAAGTTTTTCTCGCTGTAGGAGAGCATGCCACAGGATGCTGGGTATGCTGACGCATCTTGTCACGCAACTGGAATAACAGCGCTGTACGATACCCTAAAAAGGTTTTTCTCGGCATCGGCGAGCATGCCACACGATGCTGACGCATCCTGTCATGAAACTCGAGTAGCATGGCTGTTTGATACCCTAGAAAGGTTCTTCTCGGAATCGGAGAACATGTCAGAGGATGCTGCGGTATGCTGACGCATCCTGTTACGAAAGTCGAATAGCATGACTGTTGGATACCCTAGAAAGTTTCTTCTTGGCATCGGGGAGCATGCCTTGGAAATTCCTCGCGATTGGCAAGCATTTGTCGGCAGCCCCTCACGAGAAAGGTTTGTCTCAGCATCGGAGAGCATGCCAGAGGATGCTGTGGTATGCTGATGCATCCTGTCACGCAAGTCGAATAGCATGGCTCCTCTATACCCTAGAATGGTTCTCCTCGGTAGCGGAGAGCATGGCTGTTCGATACCCTAGAAAAGTTCTTATCGGCATCGGGGAGCATGTCAGAGGATGCTGTGGTATGCTGACGCATCCTGTTACATAAGTCGAATAGCATAACTGTTCGATACCCTAGAAAATTTCTCCTCGGCATCGAGGAGCATGCCTTGGAAATTCCTCGCAATTTGCAAGCATTTGTCGGCAGCCCCTCACGAGAAAGGTTTGTCTCGGCATCGCAGAGCATACCAGAGGATGCTGCGGTATGCTGAAGCATCCTGTCACGTAAGTCGAATAGCATAGCTCTTCGATTCCCTAGACTGGTTCTCCTCGGCAGCGGAGAGCATGGCTGTTCGATACCCTAGAAAGGTTCTTATCGGCATCGGGAAGCATGTCAGAGGAAGCTGCGGCATGATGACGCATCCTGTCGCGACACTCGAATAGCATGACTCGATACCTTAGAGAGGTTTTTCTCGTCGTCGGAGAGCATGCCACAGGATGTTGAATATGCTGACGCATCTTGTCACGCAACTGGAATAACAGGGTTGTACCGGCTCACTTGACCTTCAGAAGTGGCTATGACCATAGATTTTTTGAAGGTGAGGCTCATGGTTAAATCAAAGATCACCAAAGTACAAGTTAATATACAGTAGCGGACAAAAGTTTGGAAACAAATATTAACATTGTTATGAACTATTTCATAAACCTAAATTAAAATTGTGAAGGAACAGATAATATAAATATTAAAGTCTACCTGTGGCCCCCGTAGTAATACAAGGTTTATCTTATCTATCTATTTCTATCGATATTCAAATTCTCTGAAAATAAAGACACGCGTTTTTTTAAATACCACAGTTTTTGTAACGACATTTATTCGTTCTGCGATATTCTGATATTGCGTGCGGTAAATATTAACATCACTGAGAATGGCAAAAGTAAAAGAATTTTCAAAAGATTTAAGAGACAAAGTAATTGAATTGTTTAGAAGTGGTGTCAGAAATCTTGACGTTTATCAAAGATTGAAAATAAACAAAGGGACGATTTTGAAAATTATTAGTAAATTTCAAGAATACGGATCAAAAGCAACGCGGCCCAGGTGCGGAAGACCGAAAAAAAAAACGCTTATGTCTTGGATCGCTACATCAAACGTTTGTTCCATGAAGATCCTCGAATGCCAGCTACACAGATTTTCAAAAGAATCGTAGAAGAGGGTGTCGAGAATTTTTCTGTCAGAACAGTGCAGAGACGCTTGGTCGATTTTGGGCTTTTTGGTAGGCATCCAGTGCAAAAGCCCCTCATTTAAAAAAAATCGTATTGCTAGGCTTGAATTTGCTAAAACTCTTCTAACTTCGACAGAACAACAATGGAATACAGTTTTATGGACCGATAAAAGCAAATTTAACTTGTTTGGTTGGGACGGTACGGCATATGTGAGACGTCCAATACGGAAAAGATTCGACAAAAAGTATCATTTGCCAACAGTTAAGCACGGTGGAGGCAACATCATGGTTTGGGGCTGTTTTTCTAGTTCTGGAATGGGTCCAATTATTAAAATCGCTGGGAAAATGGATGAGAAACTTTACAAAGATATTTTTAGTAAAGACATGCTCCTTTTTGATGAAGAAGAAATGCCTTTACGATGAAAATTACAGCAAGATAATGACTCCAAGCATACCTCAAAATTTGTGAAGGATTGCTTAAGACTAAAAAATGTTAATGTTCTTAAATGGCCTTCGCAATTCTCGGATCTAAGCCCTATAGAACATCTCTGGGAGCATGTTAAAAGATAACTGACAAGAAAAACTTTCAAAAATAGGAACGATTTATTTCATTATGTAAAAAATATTTGCGAAAATATCCCAACAGACGTCTGTAAAAAATTGGTGACTTCTATGAGCAGCAGATGTCAGACAGTGTTGAATGCTAAAGGCCGTGCTACCAAATATTAGCTAAACAGTATTTTTTAAATCTTTTTGTAGAGTTATTGTATTTAATTTTGCAATAAAAAATATGTCTCATTTTTGGTCATAAAATAATATGAAGGTATTTTAATGCTTGTCTGTAGTACCACAGGAAACACAAACTATCATTTGTATTCTCAAGACTGTAAATAAACTATATGAGAAAAAAATAGTCCATAATAATAAAGAATAAAAAATTAGTTCAGTTTTTGAAATTTATTAATTGAAACTTTTGTCCGCTACTGTGGATTTAACCGTGAACAATTTCAAACATACCTTAGCTGGAAAAATACAGTGCTGTTCCGTTTCTTTTGTTACATTCAGTATATCTCATGAATAGTCGCCGTTAGGTTATCAAATAGAATTTTGTACTGCAGTGACATAGATCAAAGATCTAATTTGCCTTACCTGTAATTGGGAGTCGTATGTTTTCAGAGATGTTTGGATTTTGAACATTCGAGATATGCTCTACGCATCTCATGATAATGGTCACGGTTCACGAGAGGATCAAGCATCTCAAATTTAAAATTGCGACCAGAAGCATTTTTACAGGTTCTTTTAATCTTCAGAACATCCGCAGAAAATGCGCTATACAACATATGTTTCCGGATAATAAATAGCTATATCTAGTAAGCATCGGGTAGTTGGCCAGTACGGCTCTGGGCAGATCGGTATGTAATTAAATCGAAGCTGAGTGCATAAATGCAATTATGTAATGTGTACTTACCCCGCGTCTTGTGCTTCGTGTGCTCGGATTATTGACAGGAGGTTATTATTTTGTAGGAAATCACAACATGCAGCATAGCTGTAACAATAATCAGAATATTAGTTTCAGTAAACTAATCTGACTTACTGGTAGTCCAACACTGACTTGAACCTAGTATCGATTTAGATAATTATGGCTTATGATGCTACGATGCGACCGCTTTCCGCTAATTTTAAGCGTTAAAGCATAAGCTATATAACAGTAGCCTGAGCAGCCAGCTTAAACTGAGGTAGGTATAGCCATAATGTTTTTCACAGAACTAGTTGAATATGGAAATATTTTCACAAATTTCGATTCTTGGACAACATTATTTTGAGAAATTTTAAACAGTCTTATGGAGGCGAAAGATCTGATGGACCAAACTGCAGATTCCACGGAACGATGTATGGTAACTCCATAGCGTACATCAGACAAAGCTTCCATATATTAATATGGTAAGGAGGGATTACTAGGACATTATTATTGTACGTTTGATGTGGGTTACCCCGTTTCTCTCTTGGGAATCCTCGTAACTAGAGCGTGGATCCATTAGAAAGGCGATGAAATATGATGAGTTTTGCATAAATTGCCTAAAATTATTGGATTTAATTTAATATGCAGCCTATAACTATGATGCAGAATCTAGAAATTAGTGAGTTCGATTTATTATACTCCAAAACAGGGTCACATCATTTTCTGTTCTAAATTGGAACTACGCTGATTTTATAGTTGAAAATTAATTTTTTATTACCTGTAAAAATATGAGCAGCCTCGTACAGAGTTGTGTGAAAAGTGTTCTGCGTTGTTTTCATTACCAAAATCTTCTAGGGGATCTGACCATAATAGGTCACACATAGGGCCGAAAGCAGGTGGTTCCTTAAATCTGTCTAACTGAAAAAAGAAGAAAATGTACGTCAACACAATGCAACTAACAATAATATTTGAATCTACCTTTAAAAGTGCTAATATGTCAAGGGCGAATTCAGGATTTCTAGGGGGGGGGGGGCGCAAGGGATATTATTGCTTCTTAAATCCAAGGGTGTTCTATCTGGTCAAGGCCAGCTTGAAAAAAAAACATTCAAATTGCTCATAAACCCTCAGAAAGCCAATATTTTGTTATATGAGAACAAAATAATTACGTGGCATTTATAATTAACTAGTGAAATAATATTAAAGATTCAAACATAAAAAACTTCATTGCTCTGTTAACCGACAAAAAATAAAACATTATGGGGGACCCCGAGACATATCCCAGTCCATTCCATACAAAATAATGTCTTACATTGCGAAAACGAACATGAGACCAAAAAATTCATCGTATGGACGCTAGACAAGACAAAGAAGGATGTCTGTAGACCATCTATAGATCGTGTCTTGAGACCGTCTCCAGACTGCCTATAGACAAATTGCGCAATTGAGTCTACTATACTACAACTATTTAAAACTGTAATGACTCACACGCGTGATCAAGACGTGATCAGAGATCGATCCCGGCTTCCTTCCAGTACAGCCGTATAGCGTACGACATATGTCGTTTCTGTGACTTTGCAGTGGTCAACAGCACAGACAGAGTGGAAATAATGGCTGATTGTTCTCCGCCGGTAGAACCAATGAAATCAAATACGCGCCTCGACCGGGAGACTCATAGGCGTCGGCAACGCATTGGAACGTGTTTCGTTGAGCGATCGCATATTGTGTGTTTTTATAAGATTTGTTGTGTGATTGTTATTGTTGTGGTTTCTGTGGTTACTGTTTTGGTTATACTTAACCATGGAGAGTACAAATGGCATGAGTGGAAGTACTGAAAGCCAGGGAACAAGTAGACGGCTTCGTAAAGCACTGAAGAGGGACGCGTAAGAAATCGTGCTCAACGTGTTCAATTATCTGAACAGAACTATGTCGCAGGGAGATGCACTCGCGCGTTGTGAAAGTATGACAGGTGTTCCAGAGTGGACCATTCGCAGGGTGGTGCATGAAAAGAAGAAAACTGGAGCTACTACTGATCCAAAGTTTAATTTGAAGGGACGAAAGGCCGTTAAATTGGATGACGATAGCAAAATGGCGTTAAGGCGAACCGTACATTCATTCTTCTTTAGGAATGAGATACCAACCCTCAACGCTGTACATGCAGCGATCAAGGAAAATGAAATTATACCCCAAATGAGCGTCGAGGTAATGAGGAAATCCCTGCACGAAATTAATTTTCGTTACGAAACGCGTAATCGGAAGTCAGTATTGATAGAGAGACCTGAAATAGTCGCCTGGTGTCGAAAATACCTACGCGAAATGATTGAATATAGGCGACAAAGCAGAAAAATCTATTATTTGGACGAGACATGGGTAAATGCAGGTCACACAGTTAAAAAAACCTGGATAGACAAAAACGTAGCGAGTAACCGACAAGCAAGCATTGAAGGTTTGTCAACAGGTCTTCGTGGACCGTCAGGGAAAGGTCAAAGATTGATCGTAACTCATATTGGTAGCGATAGTGGCTTTTTAGAAGAGTGTGACTTGATTTTCGTCTCTAAGAAAGGAGGTGATTACCATGACGAAATGAATGCCAGCTGCTTCGAGAGCTGGTTTCAAGGGGTGCTTCAGCGAGTTGAGCCCAACTCTGTGATCGTCATGGATAATGCTTCCTACCATAGTCGTCGAGCCGAACGTGTGAAAGCGGAATTGTATGAAAAAATTAAACAGCACAAACCTGCGAACATTAGTTACGTGACTGATGAGATGGCCCGTCAATGTGGTGTCACTGTGCTGCGGTTACCGCCCTACCACTGTGAACTGAACCCAATAGAGCTCATCTGGGCTCAAGTGAAGGGTTATATTGCGCGCCATAACACAACCTTTAAATTACCAGACGTTAAGGTTTTACTTGAGACTTCCATACAGCTAGTAACGCCCGAAGCTTGACAGAATGCTATCCGTCATGTTGTGAAGGAAGAAACAAAAATGTGGCAGCTTGACCACCACATCGACACCATCATAGAGCGAGTTATAGTCAATTTCAACGAGGAAAGCGATAGCGACAGTTTATTACTGTCAGATGTAAGTGGAAGCAACGATGAATAAAGGTAATTCCCAAATTGTTGACTTACAATATGTTTCAAACCACTCTTTATTAAGCATGTGACAAATCTAGTTCACCCATGTTAAACATCCATACCCCGCCTATGAACAGCCGACTACTGGTAGTTAAGTGATGTTCACGTGAACATCGATGAGTCATTACAGTTTTAGATAGTTATAGTACAGTATGTAATAAGCTTAAGGATTAAGACTCTGAACTGCCCATTAAACAAATCAAGTAAATGGTGCAAATACTGACACAATCAAGCACTTCTATTATATCAGCAGTATGTATTCCTCCATTCCGACGTGGATAATCTCGGTTATCGAAGAACAGACAGCCGACGCATCCGCGTCAGTGAAACAGACATTTCTCCAAGGAAAGGTAGAGAAGAAGTCTCTGAGCCCCTCCCAGTCGGCATGTCCGTAATGCCAAATCTTGCGGCCTGCGCTGAAACAGCGGGTTCTGACCGAAACCTAACCTCCACAACCCAGCGGTCTGAGTTACCCAGGGTAAACAGGTCAGCAGAGCTGTAAGGGACAAAACACACATTGGGTGTTGAAAAATCTATTGGAAAGTGTGTACATATGTATAGTATTTATAGTTGCTGCGCCAAAATATCCAGTACCACATACTATAATAAGCATAATAATTCATAATACTCTTATGACAGCTTCTTGTTCCAAAGTTAAAGAAGCATAAAAGCATATTATTAAAAAAACTAACGCAAAACGTCTCGCGTCTTTTCGAAAGCTATTATACTCTTCATTTAAAATTCTGGTGAGCGCAAATTCTAAATTATTCGCTCCAGAGGCGTGATAGCGGCCAACGTAGTGTGGCAGCAGTATTAGTGGTGGAGCAGAGGCATCATTTAGGGCTTCACTTTATTTTACTATTACCAACTCGCTAGGTAACGCTACGGTCACATAAGTTATTTCATTTATTAAATTAAGTTAGCTGGGTGCACAACTTTATCTAGAATTGAATAGAAAAGATTTATTTAGCTTTAAGCTACTAAATAAATTCTGTGACAAATAGTACTGTTAGCGGCATCTTCATGGCCGATCTCTGCTTCTACGCGAACCACGACCGCACAAGCCGCTTGGCGGCTTCTGTGAGGACCGTGGCAGTGACTCACCTTCTAGATGTGTGACCTCCAATATTTTAGATGCCGCTTTGTGGTTCACCAGACCTTTCTCGAAGCAGCAATGGGGACTATATACTCGTATATAACTCGGCGGTAGAGTACAGATTACACCAGAACAGAGCGGAGTGGAGTATAGTGCAGTCAATGGCGACATAAGAATTAGTCAGACATAAATAGTGGTGTACATAAATGTTCTAACGAGTTAAATAAATTAGTGCCTTTCTATTTTGGAATTCAGTGTTTTAATCCACACCCAATAGAACCCAGAAAAACGCTACAATATTATTTACAAAAAGAGAGGTCGTCAAATCAAACCAAAATCTGACACTGACCGATTTTTAAGCTTTAACGCGGGGTTCGCAGCGCTAGGGAAAATTTGAACTTCAAATTGATATTTTTCTTCTGATACTGAACTAAGTCTTGTAATTTCGCGCGTATTAGGGTCCCATAATGCGAATCAGATAGATGTCAACTTACATGTTTTACGAACCTTCTGTTTCCATAATGTTATAAATCTTGCTTTTCGCGGGTAATTTTTTTTAACTATGAAAATGGCAGCTATTATTCATGAAACCTGTAGGTTGACGCATGACTAATTAGCTTTTAGAGCCCTCCGCCTGAAATTACGCGAGTTAGTTTAGAATAAACCGAAAATTGACAGTTTGAAATTTCTTAATCTCGATAATCTCCGACCTCCCTCAAAGATGATACCATATAGTAGGATCGTATCCAGACGCCACATACTTCTGAATCAATCAATCGGCAGGGTTATTATGTAAAAAACCTATATAATGTCAACCTATAAAATTTCAACTTGTTGAGTAAGTAGGCTAGCGTGCAAATAGTTCATTCTGCGCTTGCTCCAAGTGACCATGAGTAAACGACAGCTAGTTGACGTCTTGATGGAAAACCTACAAAAAAACGACATAATGTCACTTTTCAAGCATTTCGTTTCAGTATAATTGTTGACATAAATATCAAAGTAACTACTATTTATATTGTTTTTGTGATGCCATCAGTTAAAAGAATGTTAATTGTCATTATATTTTGATAAAACCATAATCAAGAACTGTATCTCCCCTAGTTCATTCATTCTAATCTGCCTGGTCTGCCTGTATCTGGGTATGTACCTCCTTGTACCGACGTTGCTCGTTTGTCATGGCTCTCGAATTCCACAATATTAAATGTTTTAATTTTGTTTGGGAAACCGTTGTGGACATTATAAATTTGGTAGGTGAACCTTTTTCAAAAAAATTCATTGTGAAACCTAGGAGGAAACATAGTCCCATAAATCTTATATTTATAAATTAGTCTCAATCAAGAATGTTGCACTTTTTGTATTTTTTGTTAATAAACAGACGTTAAATGGGGAACATATACAACATCAGCGGATTGATAGAACCATACTGTCACATAGAATTATTTTAGTCTTTTAGGAAGATAATTTCTGTTGACATAAATCAGTTTCAAAGCAGCACACGTTTTTTTTGTAACAGTACATTTAAACTCCAAAACTTCTCTCTTCTGATAAGGGAACGTGGACATCACCAATTTGTGTTTCAATATCTCATTTTACATTATCGGTCAGAATATTTAACTTTGCACAAGTTGCCCGTACCTCTTCTCTTTTGAACGAGACAAACGAGACATACAACTGCGTATCATCATCAA